AGAACAGGGGCGACCCTGAATAGGGCGAGTTCCTTCCCCCGACCTCAATTCTCAGTGTATTTCATATATACATTCACTGAGTCGGAATCAAGAATATGACCCCAGTTGGCTCTAAATCAGAGGTCCTGAACTATTGCGTTTGGGCTGCCACCAGACACCTTTGTTTGTCCAGCACAGTATTTTGCAAATCTGAATGTGAACATCTTTGTAGTGGGACACATATTCTTACGTGCCCTACAGACTCTACCTCTTCCTGTTGGTCGCTCACCAGTCTGGTCGACACACTGGCGCTCCAGATCCAGCCCCTTCACATATTTGAGTTTGCAACCAACCCTGCAGTCTAGATGCAGATGGCTGGTTCTGATGACATGTGGGAAGCTGGGGTGGAGATGTGAAGAACTCTTTTGGGATTCAGACAGGCAAAGAATTGGAGGCGGCTGAAGCAAACACCAGCCAAGTTAGTTGTGTGGGGTCGATTGGGGGAGGAGGCTAAACTAGTGGGAAGATTAGGGCTGGGACAAAGTCTGAATGTTTGGCTGTTTTCTAAGTAGCCACTGTTTCAGTTTATTGTACCAGGGTCCATGGGGTATTGAAATAATGGGAGCCAGGGTCTGCTGTTCTGGCCAAAAAGCATCTTGTTCTGGGTTAAGAGAAAGGGAGGAAGTCAAGAGGGTGAAGAAGGCTGCCCGTGAAGGCATGAGGCTAACTCCTCTCTGTGTCCCACAGCTCTCAGCAGCCTGCCTGCTCCAGGGCAAGGCCAGGGTCAACTTCGGTGTTGACGTTCTTCAGAACGCCCACGGACATGTCCTTTTCCAAACATTGTGCAAACAGGCAGTGGCCTGAAGGGTTCAGAGGGCCGGCGGACTAGGTAAGGGAGGGGAGGGGAAATTCACCTCACTCGTATTGCCATGTAGATTACTCGGCCACTGAACTCCTTAGATGGCATGGAGAAATTGTCACATCTTGATTTCATGAGCAGCGATCAGTTCGAGGGATTCAGCAGGGAAAAAGGTAATGCGACTACCTTCTCAAATGTATTTAAAAAAAAAAAAAGAAAGAAAATATGTTATTTTCCTTAAGTTAGAACCAACCCCTCCTTTGGTTGACTCTAACCTGAGAGAGATACTGAGATGTAAAAAGAAGAGAGAGCTCAGCTCAGTGCAGGCTGAGACAAAAGGTTTCTCTGCGCATTTGAGAAGCTGTCATTTTAAGACTGTGCAGATTTGGCTACTATCTTTTCCAGGTGTTGAATGGCTTCTAATAATGAAATGGTGATTGATTTAAAGGGCAAACTCTTCAGAGTCACCCAGTGCTCAAGCAGACACCCAGTCACCCATCCCCAGGCCAGGTTCACCCATGTGAGAAAAGCCACCAGGTAGGAGGGAGGTCACATGTCATAGCACTGGACCACTGATTCATAATGGCCTGTGGATTTCTGCACTGTCATGAATAGACTTCTCACTCTCATCTCTGGTTTAGCAGTTGGTACCCAAGGGCCCTAAAGAATCAGAAATGTGTCTTTCATATATCATGGATGCACCAACACTTAGACCTTGGTAAATCCAAGTGGTGTTGGCTAGCCATCTCTAGGCCCCATGTCTATATATCCTGTGGTTAATATGTTACTTCATATTATTTGTTCAGAGCTTTAAAAAAAAAGATTAAAAAAAAACCCCTTGGTTACTTTTGTGTGTTTAATTTTTAAAACTTGAACATAATCCCCAAACAACGTAAGGAGCCCAACAATTTGAGTGAGTTCCTAACTGGTTTAAGGGTCACAGCAGGCAAGAGTAAAAGCTTAAGCGCCTTTATGAAGTCAAAGAAATGCATAAAGCAATACATGCATTTTGTTGCCACAAAATTAAGACTGGGTTTGGAGCGGGATTACTTCATTTAAGTCACATTGCTATTGTTAAAGAAGAGTGAGTTATAATGCAATATTTAGAACCAGTACATAACCGCCTACACACTAGCATCACTTTATCTAGAAACAAACATAGAGTGTTACTAAATGAGCATATTTATAAAATACTGTACACTGCTTCTGCATTGGGTCAGCAGATGTAAACAAACAGCTAATTAAACTGGAGGTTAAAATATTATTTTAAGTTCATTTTTCATATAGTCGTTTGCATGACATGCCCGTTAGTCTTTCACAAAATCACAAGTTGCCTACCACAACTCGCAGGGCTAGTTAGGGGATGTACATCGGCTGACACAAATATTTTACAGTGGTCTACAGGAAAGGGAAAAACACAAAGCAGATCAGGAGCAAAAGTGCCCATTCACGAGGATGCTAAATAACATGGCATGGGGGACATAATTAATCCTTGCAACATGTGCTTCTTTATTGAATGTTACAGATTTGTAAGTGATTATAAAGCTGTCCTGTAACGTTCATTAATACAACCACATGCTACAACTACGCTGGGTTAAACACGGGTTACATATATGTTTACATGTGTTTTATAATACAGAATTTCCCAACACATTGAATAGTATAGCCTATAGATGTAGCATGATGGATGACTGGATAATATTTGTTATCATTAAAGAAGTTAAACAGCCCAAACATTCAGGAAGATGAGACTGTAGACAGTCTCAGAAAGTAGAATAAATGTACTATCCAGTTATCTACCATAATATTATCTATAGAAACTATCCTTTAGAATACATTTGAAACATTCAGAAGAAACACATTTTGTGTTTTTACAGGTACATTTTTTCCCATTTGATTATTCATATATATATATATATATATANATATATATATATATATATATATATATATATATATATATATATATATATATATATATATATATATATATATAAAATGGGGAAGGTTTAAAGTGCTAAATAATATGTCAGACCCGGAAGCCTAGACTTAAAAAAAATCCAGTTCTGTAAAGTGCTGCATTCCTACCACTAATACACCAGTTGGCTTGGAGAAATATACACACCAGCCATGACAATTATACCCAAGCCTTCTAGCTCCTCATTCAAATCCATTAAGGAGGGAGTTTCTAACTATAAATATAAAGTATGTTGGTTAATCAGGAAATTTCCATGGTCATTTTCATAAAACATCCTTACTTTTTTTTTCAAAAGGACCAAGTAATTTAGAACAAATCATTACATATAGTAGTATATAAAAATTGGCACCTTAGAAGCAGATGATTATACCAAAGCTATCACTTCCTTGTGTTCTCGATGACTTTATTTATGTTCCTCAATAACTTGCTGCTCATAAGCTGCTTAATTCACAGAGACAGGTAATTAACGTCCCCTCAATCAGGGACATGGTGGAATAAATGAGCTGCACACAAGCTGACTGTACAAGGCCACAGAATCAATGCCACATCAGTATGCAGAGTTTCCAGACATGGAAAGAAATGTATTGAAACATAACACACAGGAAAGAAATGGCTCATGAAAGTTACACAGTTTGTGTTTAAAGTCATTTAAATTTGGCTTATATATTTCACACACTTCACAAAAGATGGAAGAACTTTATTTTCATGCACAACAAAAGAACCAGGTAGTCACAAGGTCAGGACTAAGTATTTTGTTTCCCAGGTCCTGTTCTGTTCTCACCAGAAATCATGATGAATGGAAACACGCGTGCTCACACTTTCTTTCCCCACTTTCAATCTGGTCCAGGATGAGGCCCTGGAAGTGCTGTGATGTCCTGCTCTGTGGTCAGAGAATAATGGTTTTACCGCCTTCTTGGATTCCTCTACAGACTCTCTCAGAGAGCCTTCCAGCTTTGTGAGTGTGCTCCATACTTAAAATCATCAATACATTAGGATGTAAGTACATCAAACTAGCAAAATCTAATCTAAGGAATGAGAATAAAATCTTGGTTCTAACTCTGGTGCTGAGACTTGGCCTTCCTGAGAATCACAGAGAAATGGTCTCAAAATGTAAAGTGCCTATTACAACTGTATTGATTATGAACAAACATGGTTCCTCTTCCTCATTTTTAATCAATATGGAACCCTTTAAAGTTATATTGCAACTTTGCACATATGTACACTTTTTTTCTGGGGAGAGGGCCCAGGGCTCTCATAAGATCTTCACAGAGATTCATGACTCAAGGAAGTTTAAGGGCAACTGATTTGTTCTCAGACCAAATGCATGTTTGCTGAGGGGGAAATAGCCAATATGGGTTCCAATAAAAATGTGTTTCTAGAGTAATTATATACAAGGGACTCTGGTTGCTTGTTTCTGATTTGCCCAAATACCAAGGAGTGAAAAAGGAATTTCTTAACTCTTCATGTGGCCTCATCACTATTTCTACACTTGAAAAGCTTGTTTAGAAGGCTTTTTTGTTTTGTTTTGTTTTGTTTTAGTATTTAAAGGCTAGGGATTTTGTTCACGTATTTACTTGATTTCACATAATGAGAAAATTTGAAGTTCACAACTACCACTAAACCAAAGAACCAGGTAGTATTTTGGGTCAGGAACTGTAAGTCATGTTCCTTAAAGATTTTACTCTTTTTGAAATCAGTGATGCAAATAGAAATCCAAAGATTTGAAGGTCAAGATTTCATCACCCGACTTCAAATCCAGACTCTTATCTGGAAGCATGTACACTTATATTTTAGAATCTGTAAGACTACCTGGTTTAGAATTGTACATTCATTCAGATTGTACTTGGTGTAAACACTTTGGGCAGGAGAAACCAGACTAAATGAGAGGCCATGATAGCTAGTGTTTTCGGTCAAAAAAGGGGCAGAGGGCAGGTATTGAGTAATTTTGACAACTCTAGTTTGGTATAAGGAAAAGTTAAGGTTATAGGGATTTAATAAAATCATAATTTCAACATCTGTTGAAATATAATATAATGTATTCTTTCAATGGAACTCCTTGGATATTAAAAATTCTGGTTATACTTTAAGGTGATAGAAAAGTCCAAGTCTCTTAAGAAAGCTCTATATGTCTGTTTATATACTATATATAAACATGTCTCTCTGTGTAAATGCATATATATATATATATGTATATAAGCAGCATATACTATAGAATTCTTTACATGGTTTATTTCTTTTCTATTTTAGCTTTTTGTATTTTTTTTTTTGTAGCTCTGTACATAAGAAAAATATTCATGGTATGCCTGCAACTAATGGCTTTGGGTCGATACCAAACTCTCAGTCAATTATAAGGTTATTTATGGTTTTGAAACTTCCTTAAAAAGTACTTTGGAACATTTCCATAAAAAAGATACCAGCCCTTGAAAAACGCCAATTAAATTTATGCTGAGCTCAGATTAAATGGCAAAACTCTAGGTATGAAAATATCCACATGTAATAACCAGATATTCGTATACAAAATGGTCACGTGATGAGTCGTGTGTAAAATTGGCAGTTACATCTTGGAAATGTTCAGAAGACATGGTGGAGCCATGCAAATGATGAAGGCCACACAGCAGCATAACACATGACATGAACGGTGAGAATATAACAACATCCCACATGGCAATTTTAGGTGAGTTCTGCCCACTACATTTTTTTGTTAGTTCACTATTATATATTCAGTGAGCGAATTCATTGATGACAGGTGAGATACAAAATAAATTAAAAAATATAAAATTATTTAGTTACATTCATCCTGAGCTTGCACGACTACCCTTGAATGCCCACTGTATATAACAGACCACTTGACATTTGTTTGTAACATCAGTTCTTCTTTCATTTTGCTTGCAATACAAAAAAAAAAAGGCATTTCTTTTCCCTTATTTTCTTCAGAAAAGATAAACAGTTGTGGCACCAGAAGTGAATATATAAGAGACAGGTGAACTATGACTGTTACCTTGTTTTTTTCTTTAAAATGATCAATTACAGAGGTGTTGGCATGAGAAGGATGTGGGACGTTAGGTAGAACTGCTTGCTGCCGGCTTATACTGAATAAAAAGGATGCTCTTCATCAGTCACCAGTAATGGAGCCAATGTGAAAAGAAAACAGAATTGAAGTTTAGAATATCTCATTTGTATGCTGGCTACTTTATTTTATTTTTATTTTGCAATTTAGCCCTACATCCTAAACCTCTTGATAATGGTCAGAAATGGAAAGATGCCTCCCGGCATGGAGAATGCGTGAAGCCCCTTCGTTCGCAGGGCTCATGGCTTTCTGAAGTGACTAGTGATACACATTCATCTCAACCCTTCTCCCTCTCTTTCCCCTTCCTCCCCATTGAGTGTGAGTATGACTGACACCCCTTGTGTTTGGCACTGGGCCCGATCAAATGCTTTCTAGATCTGTGGCCCAGAAGTCATCTTTGAGTTAACACCTCCCGAGGCATTGCTTGTTTTGCTCAGCTCAGAAATAAAGCAGGTATGTTTCAAGGAAGGGGACTAGGTGGAGTTCGGGGAGACTTTTAGGGCTGGATTCTTGAGCTTCCTGCAATGCTTATTAAGGTTTAGTTGTGCTTGCTTTCAAAGCTGTGGAAAGCGGATGTTCTGGACAGTCTCCTCATGGACAAGCTGTCCCCTCGGCCCTCTGGCTTGGAGGACTTACTCCTCTGGAAGGGATTTCGCAGGCTGGCTGTGGTCCGCTGCCTGTCGAGTTTGTCACTGATGGAGAAGCTTTTCCTGGTGTGTGCATATGGCGCACTTGGCTCCTCTGCAGAGTAGCTGTTGGCGCGCTCTATCTTGGGAACCGTGATGTTGTTGGACAGGGTTTTGTCTGCGTTCTCGCCCTCCTGGGAGGGTATTGCGATGGTGGCTCTCCGGCCTTTGGCCTCATTCTCCTCAGTGTCAGAGCTGGGGTGACTCAGTTCTGCTTCTCGCTCGGGATGGCAGCAAGATGAATCTTCCACTTTGCCTCCAAGGCCTCCAGGGAAGGTGGCTCTGTCAGCAATCACTTGAGGGGCATTGACACACCTTGTGTCAATACAGTCTGTAATACTTGTGTACTCTGCTGTTTTTACGGGTACCCCAAAGTTGGCGTAATAGCTCCTCGAAGGAGAAAACATAAAGCTATGAGATTTCACGATGGGGGCCTCTTCTAGGAGAAAGGGCGTGGTGGGTAGGTAGCGGCTACTTTTGGAACGCTCGATGGTGTGGTACATTGGAGGGTCAGTGTCCCAGGGGTTTTGGCACTCTGGGAGGTGGGTATAGTCTGAAGAAAAAGATCTAGTGTCCATGGAGGTGATGTCCTCGAAATCAATGCTCCGGCTTGGAGGCCTGTCTATGGGTGCGAGAGTTGCATAGGCACTACTTGAAGGAGCTGTGGAAGGTACCGGAGCTGTAAAGCTTGGCTCGCCTAGCCCAAGGATGTTCATGGAATTGTCCAGAGGGTCTATATCACAGTGGAGCTCATCCATGGCAGAGACATAGATGTCTATACATGATGATGGTCTTCTGGAATCAGGAACAATGGCCAAGGTGTTTGCAGGGGCTGCAGGAGCTTTGGGTTCCTTTGCTATAGAGTGGGAACTAGTAGCCCGGTGTAGGCTCAGGGACCTTTCTTTAAAAAGACTTTCCAACTTTTCTATACCACCTTTGTCTTTCACATTGACTGAATAGAAAGAATGACTTCGCATACGGGGCATTAGGGTTGGAGAAGTTGGGGACATGGTCTCCTCACCTGCAGGGTCTATACTCTCTTGGAGCTTGAAGGTGTTCCCCTCTTGGCTGTTGAAGCTGCTCTGGCGGACAATGTAGGCTGCATCTGTGCAGTCCGAGGAAGTCCGTGAGCGGATTTTGTTGGACTCGGCCCGCTCCAGACCTGTCAGACGCTCCAGGGCAGTGGCCATGCGCCCGATGAGGTCCTCAAGCTGTGCCAGCCGGATGTCCACAGTCTGGAGTGATGCCTTCATGCAGTGCTCTCTCTCATTGACTTCCTCTAGCCTCATGGACATGTTCTCTACCCTGGGAGAGGAAGAGAGAATGAGAGTCACCTGGGGCTGGGTTCCCATGCTAGGGGTTTACAGACAGAGCATGGACACAGGGGTCAAAGCTGTGCCTGGTCCTTGGTCATCAATGTCCTACCAGAGGGAAACTGAGAGGTTACAGGTATTGAGGAGGGGGTCGGGAGGTGAGAATGGCAGTGATGCTGTCACCGAGCATCATAGAATCCAAATCTTTTCGAGCTGGAAGAAGCTTTAGAGATTACCCAAGCCAGTGATTTTTAATGACATATCCCCTTTTCCCTCAATGAAATCTAATGCACAATCCCGGTAAATAAACACCAAAGTTCACCAGTTTTTATTGACGTGGAGTGGGGCCAATGTCCTATCCTTTTACCACTCCCATGGCTTAGCTGTGGCTTGAGACAGGGTTTAATGACCTAAATAAGTATTAGGGTGTTGGCTTATCAGAATCACCGACAAAATGAAAATGTTGCATTTTGATGACTTTACCCAGAATTTTGCAATAAAATTCTAGAATGTAGTATTCTTATTGCAATGTACATGTAAAACTTGTATTTTGTGGACTGGGGTTATTTTTATTTTACATTTATATAATAATCTTTCTTTTTGTTGTGTTTTCCAATAATCTTTTTAGAATTTAATGTCTCCAAAGGAATTAATACGGCTCTGGTACTGAGGTACTTGGCATTGATCTAATCTAATCCAATCCTTTCATTAATAAAAGAAATACAAACATCAAGAAATTTAACCAAGATTATAGAAAGTAATTTGTGGTAAACTTTGAAGCGTCTATCAACAGGTACCTAAATTATTCTACTCCTTTTTTTCTGTCTCTCTGGGTAGCTCATCACAGATGCCTTATATTAGTTTTATCTAGATGTCTTGACCCTCCCTATTGTAAATTCTTTCTGTTTTTTTAATTGAAGTTTATTGGGGTGACAATGGTTAGTAAAGTTACACAGATTTCAAGTGTACAGTTCTGTAAATTCTTAAGGACATGATCTGTCTCATATTCCTGTTTCCATTTCCATATTGCCAGCCCAATGCCTGCCATGGGTCAATAAGGATTCACGGAGTCGGTCACTGTTATTAACTTGATTTCAATTGTCTAATAAACTACCTGGTCATTTATCTCCAAAGACAGAAGCCACATAGTTAAAATAAAATTGTGCCATGTTGCCCACTTGCTTAAATTAACTTGGAAAGGACAAATCAAAGCCAAGTCATGGTCTGAGTTCAAACGTTCACTTTCAAATTCCCGACGGCAAGTCTTTCAGAGGATCTAAATGAGATCCGTTCTAAACTTTTCTAGAGAGTATAAAAATACTTTTACAATACTCCCAATATGCACAGTAAATCATTTGATTGTTGACTCTTAAAAGGAACATGACTGATTGTACAGAATACACTTTGCAAAAAACGGTGGGAATTACAGCTGGGTTCCCCAGCTGTTGTGCTGCTGCTGCTGGTGTATTAATAACAGTAACACCACTGTTAGGGAGAAATATGCATTTCTGTGCCAGAAGGAGGTTTAAGAGGCAGTGGTTTCCCTCTCTGAGAGACATGCTCTCCTGCTGGCCAGGGTGGTGTGTGTGTGTGTGTGTGTGATTCCTTTGCCTTGGGGCACATTTATCTCTCTCTCTTTTTCTCTGCAACACCCCCTGCTCCCTCAAAAAACCAAAAAACAAATAACTCACTCTACAGACTGCTCTTCTAACCTCTGGCTTACTTTCACCCAGTTTAAGGTTTTGGAGACATTTTTTCTTTGCTCTTTCCTGAGCCCATACCACCTCAGCATTGCCCAGGGTCCAGGCTCTCTCAGTCACTATGCCCAGGGATATTCCCAAAAAAACTGTAAACTGAGCAATTCTGCATCTGGCAAATCCAATGCTATTCACCCAGCTAACAGCTAATTCAGAAGGAAAATACAACTTTTCCCTGTTTCACTTTGTTTTGTGGTATAAACATAGCCTGAGGAACAAATTACTTAAAATTATAAGTTTGTATGTCTTATAGACTTATAATTCACTTTTTCATCATCTACTGATGGAGCTTGATTTTGCAAGTACTGCAATTTTAGTTTTTGCAATGCAATAAGCTTTGGGTAAGTGGATCAAATACTTCTTCATTAAAGTCAGGAAAAGGATAGATTTTGCATTTCTGTAGAATGAGACTTTTTGGATACTCTAGGTACCGAGCCCCTTTAGCTTTTTAGAGTTGGCAGAACAACCAAAGGCAGGATAGTTTTCTTCCTCCTTCTCCTTACCTTTCCTGGAGCCTGGTGTATACAAGGTTGGTATGGAAAGAGAAAAAGATGTTCTTTTGGCATAATTGCAGGTGATCATTAGTCTGAGCATTGTGAAATATCTCCCGTGTTGTGGGGACCCCCTCCCCACATTCCACCTCCACACAGCCCTAGGATCCAACACTGAAGAGAAAGCTAACAGGTGAGCGGCAGAGCTAAGGCACCAACCAGAGCCAGTGGAAGAGTCAGGACCTGGTGGTGGGTAGTAAATGGGACACAGAGACTAAGGAGCCCAAGGAGATGGGAGAAGAGCAGAGAGGTTCAAGGGGGAAGAGGCTCCTCTGGCAAAACAGGAGGTTCCCAGCAGGAGCCCCAAGAGCATGGCCTCAGGGAATAGAAGGAACTAGGAAGCCTGCTACAATAGGGCCAAGCAACTATTCTTTACAAGGAACTAAATCTTAACTTTCCTGTGGGCTCTGAGGCGCTTTGGAATATAAGACTTGATTAAAAAAAAAAAAAGACTATTTCATCCATTTTCTTCCAGAATTCTGGATGTGTTTAACCACCTAATTGTATACTCATTTGGGTCATGGATGTAACTGATAGGGGGTTCATGTCGAAGTTATAAAAGAATAAACGTGCCTAGAGTCAAATTTGTATGTGTTTGTTCATAACTAAAGTATGTTTCTTAATTAAAAAATCAAATCTTGGAAAGTTAAGTGTCAATGGGCATGTATCTCAAATACAGTTAGGTCTGAGGAACAAACCAAGAGTTTTGGGTCATAACTGTAGTCACTTGGGAGCTGGCTCTGGTCAAGCCACTCAGGAGATAAAATGGAGATAAGAATGATAAGAATTTATGGACCAATAGGAAGCCACATGGGGACAGATACTGGAAGTGACAAAGTACGACAAAAAGAGGGACTGTGGGATAGAAGATGTCATACAGGAGGAGCTCCTTATTTTTCTTTCCCTCTTTCACATCTCCGGACCTTGCGTGGCTCATTTCAGAATAACTCAGGAGGCAATCACAGTGGGGACACAACAGGGTCCTTGAAAGATGTGAGGTGGCTCCTGCTCCTGGGAGCCTAAGAAAGTGACAGCCAGGAGCCCATCAGAGGGGACTCAACAGGTTAGCAAAAAAAAAATCTAGCTATGAAGACAGCGAGCCTCCATAGCCAGTAAGATGAGGAAAAGGGGGCATAGCAAATTTCAGCTGCAATATGCAATTCCTTAACATAAGGATTGTTACTTTCTAGAAATTCATTGTCCTTGCTGATAACCTCAAAATGTGGTTAAATGAAATAGAGTTAAAGGAAAAAGAGGATTGGCAGGCCACACCTGTTCTAAATTTCACATATTCCCTGGAGTGCTAGTAGTAGGGTCAGCGTGGGAAGAAAGGTAAACACAATCCTGTATCACATGAGCTCAATGACGGGGGTTTTTGGGGGGCTTTTGGGGTGGGGGAAAGAAAGGGTTTTCAAATCAAAGCCAATGATGCAGAACAGCTAAAGCTAATTCTTGCTTATCCACAGACTGATACCTAATTTGAGAATTATTTAAATCTTTTAGGATCACCAGCCTTTCCCATTGGACCAATTATCCTTTACTCTGGGGGGGGAAAAAAAAGGAGAAAAGTTTAAATTCAACTCAATAAATGGAGATACCAAAGAACAGCACTGGAGAAAGATATGGCAGGAGGTGGATGAAGCTCATCTTTTTTTGGCTTATACAGTTTTTTGATTATTTATGAATTTCATATATCCTAAATTAATCTTGTCTTTCTTTGTTATGAAAAATTGTAAGTTGAATATACTATTAATAGTCATGTGTCTCTCACTATTTTGGATCTAGGTGAAGTGAAAAAAGGGTACAAAGCTCATTGGCTTGGGAAAGATGTTAGATTAAAAGATGACACTAGGAATACCGTATATCCCACTTTGCTTAAATTGTTACTGCCAAGAAGAAAATTCAAACTGCAACTTCTCCTGACAAGTGGAGCCTGACAAGTGGGGTGATGGTGAAGATGATCTGGAAACTTGAAGTTAGGGGTCTGAGAATTAAATGCCTGTGGGCGGGGAAGATTAAGTAAGTAGGTGAAGAGGGCAAGGCCTGAGAGAATAGAGGTAGGGATCCTGTGGCATGCCCAGTCCAAAGACATTTGGAATGAATTTTAATAACCACTGTAAGTCCAACACAGCAGCCCTCTGGGCACATGCGGCCCGCAAGCCACCAGTTTGTGAATTCCGCTTTAAATAAGTGGAAGGGCCCAGAAAAGAACTTCCAGCCGCAATCATCAGAAAATGTAGGTAACCCTTAAGAACCAAAGGGAAATATAAAGAAATGCCAGGAGGCTGCAGATAGGAAAATATTTTCCTGATATTCAACATTCCTGGATCCTAGGAATTAGGGGAGTTTGACATAAATTCTAGGCAGCATTAAAGAATGGCTTAGTCATAGGTCACTAAGCAGATGGTATCTTCTGACTGCTTCCAAAAGACAGGGCTCGTTAACAGGAGACTACATGGGCTCAATATTAATCTTACCTCTTTTTGATAATGTAGACTAACAGAGTTATGTAGATACAAAATATTTGTGATAAAGTACATTGTGATTCTAGCAGGGAGATTGACACACTGGGCTGACTGGAGAAATGTGGACACCTGGCTGGCTGATGAACCAAACAAGAGATGGTAGAACAATGGGCTGATGTCATCATGAAAAGTATGTTTTGGGGTCCTGTAATGTCTCGGTTCTATCTTGGTTCACCTAATCTGTGCTAATGGACATTTTGCTGAATTTTGTTGACGGCATAGTAGGTATGCTTATCAAGCAAACAATTATAAAAAATTAATAGGATCAAAATTCATATAGCGGTTAAAATCAGAATTCAAAGAGTCTTTGAGGTGCTAGAATAATGACTCAAAAGAGAAAAAATTAAAGAAAAATTTCACAGCAATGAATGTTAACCCTGATGTTAGGTTAAAAACAAACATTTCCTAAGAACAAGGTTTGAGGATATTTGAATCAGCTCATGTGAAAAAGCCCTGGTTTTAATTGATTGTAGGCTCATCTGAACCAAAGACATGACCTGGCTGCTATGATTATAATGTAATCTATTAGCAAATAAAATAAATAGATCAAATAATAATAATAACCATTTATTGAAAGCATAATATTGCACATGTTATCTCAATGACTTTTAACACTCTACAGTTAGGTGTTAATACTCCATTGTACAGATGGGGACATAGGTTCAGAGGAGCTGAGTAACTTGCTAAAGGTCACACACCTAGTTACTAGAGAATTAGTATTAAAATCTTTCTATTGTACTGTGTTCTTTCCCTTATAACATGGAAAGAACTACTTGTCCTATTGTACTCTATGAGTATTAGCTCAGCACATAGTAGGTACACAAAAATAGTAAAGGAATGAATGAAGGCATGAAGGCTCTAACTACAATACAGAATTAAGTTCTTTTTAGGTACCACATTTAAAAGGTGATGTTGACAATTTAAAGTGCATAGTGAGAAAATGACCAGAGTAATAGGAGATCTGCTGCATACATGAAAGCAGTTCAAGGATCTTGGGATATTTAGTTTGGAAAAAGCAAAGCAAAGTGGGGAGATGATAGTGATGTTCACATACGTAAAACATTTTTCTCTGAGAGAAAAGAATTTAGTTTTTTCTGTATTCATTCAGAAGACCGATATCTAAGGCAATTTCTCCTTTTTCTAGTAATTGTTCAAATAGAAGCTGGGTGTAACTAGACTATGCATTCATTCAAAGTAGAGTCCTTCCATCTCTATCCTCTAACCCTGGCTCTGTTCATGCCAGTTGCTCGGTACATATGTGTTAAATCACCATTGGCCAGGTGTGTGAGAGAAACAGCTGCCTTGGGTACAAGTAATCTGCTCTCAATAATATTCAGAACCCAGAACCTTTCCCAAGTCTAATGTGTCAAATTTTCTGTGCTCCACAGTGAATAATTCAGCGCTGTCCTCTCCTAACTCTGGACTTGTCCACTGGCTTCCATCAGTGGTTCTCAAAATGTGGTCCTTGGACCAGCAGCGTCAGCATCAGCATCACTTGGAAACTTGTTAGAAATGCAAATTCTCAGGCCCCACCCCAGATGTAGTGAATCAGAAACTGGTGGGGGTCGGGGGTTGGGGTGAGGACACTCAGAAACCTGTGCTGTCACAAGATCTCCAGATGATTTTGAGGCCCTCAAAGTTTGAGAACCACTGGATTAGATGTTTCTGGCTATTCCTGCCTTGGGTGTACATTGGAACTCAATGAGATTGTGTTTTTTGAGGATAGGGTTCTGCCTTGTGGGTCTTTCGTGCCTGCCACATTGTCTGGCATACAGTGAAAGCCCATTATGCACATACCAAAACAGAATCAAGCTTGTAAAAGGATAATGAGCATGGAATTTGATGGGACAGACTTTAAGGATTGGTTGTCTTCAGCCAAAAGTCTAAAAATCCTCAGAAAAGAAGCCAGTTGCCAATGTAGCTAAATAGGTTAAAATTTTGGTTATTTTAATATAATCATCATTAGCTAAATATTGACCCAAGTAAAGTGGAGGGTATTGGTTACTGAATTAGCTCATTATATTCTGAAATTGTATTGCATTAGGATCATCAGGATCATTGCTATATAAAAATGAAAAGACAAAGATTTTTCAGAATCAAGCCCCTCCGAGGTGTTAATGATCTCCTAAATACTGTATTGAGTTCTTTATATACCATTTGGGTGCAAAAATATAATATAATGATGATGCATTTAAATCGATAATTATGGAAGTATTTTTGTATTTCTGAAAAGACTTGTGCAAATACAACCCGTATAAATAAATTGTATTTTAAAGGTACTGGCAGGGGGAGGAACATGGGGCTCGAACATGGGGCTCACTATGTGAAGAAACTCCTCCGCCAAGTCTTTTAGTAGAGCAGAGACCTGGCTCTTAATTTTTCTGATTTAGAATTTCTGTACTGGGGCTATCTAACATGCAGGGAGAATTAGGTAGTATTCAATACTATATAGAATGTACACAGTTAACTTATGTAAATTAAACATATGTACCTATCCATATGTGTGTATATTCATGTCTGTCATCTGTCTACTTATCTATCATCTATCATCTATCTACCTATCTATCTATCTATCTATCATCTATCTATCATCTATCCACCCACCTATCTAATGTAAATAGGACAGGTGATTTCACCTGCCACTCCACTCAGAAAGGCCATGTCCTAGAGTATGTGTGAAATGAGTAATATAGATCTACCCTCCCCTTAGCTGCTCTCTGTTCCCTCATGTACTTCACGGTATTTCTGCTGTGCTGAGTGCAGTTCTAGTGTTTAAAGATGTTATTTTGGGGGTACATTTACAAACATAAAATAAACCAACACCACAACCACCGCCAACCAAAACAAAACTCCAAACACAGACAGAAGCAACAGAAGCAGAGTGAGGCCTGGCCCTCATTCTGGCACCTGGGATTGGTCATGAGATCACCCTGGTCCTCCTGGCCCCCATCACTCCGGAAAGTCGCTAATCCCTAGGACATGGGGAGGGTGGCCTATGCTCTGTCCTGGATTTCTGGGAATTGTTCACCTTGGTCACCCTCCTGGAGTGTGGGGCTCTGTATCCGCCCAGAGAGGAACAGGGCCCTGGGGAAGAGTCTCCTGAAAGCATTTGCAGGTGTGGGCGAGAAGCTCAGGTGGAGATGCTATATAGTTTCTTTCTGTTTCCATCCAATAGGAATTGGTGACATGGTCACAATACGCTCACATGCCTTGGGTCTGCACCTCTCATTCTAGTGCTTCAGAGAGGCAAAAGCTTCTTTGTGCCTCAACACTTCCTCCCCCTGCCTTTCTTTCCTCCCAGGTCTATGGCTTTCTGAATTCAAAAACCATTTCAAAGGCCCCTGGACATATGCTTTGGAAAGACATCTGAGCAACGGGCAATGTGTCTACATGGCATAATTTTCTGGGAACCACATGGCTATATGTCCATAAATAAATAGCTTTTGTAAGGCTTCAGAATTAGAAAGATCTTCAGATTTACAGCCCCTTCCTTTGTTTGCCAGAAAATTACTTCACATTATATCATCATAAAATGTTCTATTTTGCAGTGAAAGATTTGTATAAAATCTATGCATGATTTTACACTTTATTAATATTGGCTGAGTACCTATGGATACAATCACTCAATAGCATATGCCTATACACCTACCTATCTAGACTGCATTCTTTAAAGAAATAAAGGGCCAGGGACAGAAAAATTCCATTTGCATAATTTCTACAGAACCACTAGAGAACGTATGAAGTGGGTAAGCTGACAAAATGTCATTTCAAGAAAACTAGAGATGACTGACTCAAATTTTAGAAGTCTAAATCATGTTGATTAAATTCACCAATATATTATACCTTTTGCCTGTATTTATATTTTGCTTCTGCCATCTTTATATCACAAATGCCAAAAATTCAAAGTTACACCAGTTCTTTGTGACACTCTGGGTATTCTTTAAAACAGTGTTCCCAAATGCTGGGTTTTCAAAGTACCAGCCCTAAATGATGTTTTTATTAGTCTACAGTAAAATGAGGAAAACAAGAACATGTAAGCTCATTTGCATAAAGCTAGATTTATTAAATTAAAATGGTTCTCCTGTCTTTATTTTGAGATTTTTCTTACATCCCCACTAGTCTACAAAACTATTTGGTCAATGAGATCTAAAAATATGGAGCCACTGGTTATATATAAAAAGAGAAATATCTGCCTTTATTTCTTTGCTTTTATCTTATTTCATAAGAAGAAAAAAACAAAATAATTCTGGAAAAACAAAACAAAACACACCAAAACTCCTCAGCCATTATTCTGACTAACTCATAAGTCTGTTGCTGCGGTTTACCTAGAAGGTACTGAGCACCCATAGAAGCCAGGCACTAGGACCATCTATTGCTTTGGAGAAGATGCTCAGTGATCTATGCAAAACATAGAACTGCTGGAGAGCCTTGAGTTTCGTATTTGGGTTCAGAACTTTCCAATTTCTGGCCTGAGTCAGCAACTCCTACCATGCTTGGAACCCAACAATCTCTAGTGTCCATAAGGGTGGCTGCTAATGCCTGCTAGAGAAGTCCAGGATCTGTGAGTCTGGGGTTTTGAATCTGTAAACCCTTCAGACAAAGTTCTGCTCTCTCATAAGCTTGCTGGTTTATTGGACAACAAAAATAAACACAAGGGGTTTCTGTTTTTTGAGGCTGTGCAAACAAAAGCAACTGATAAAGCATGCCATGGCATAAAGCATCCCGGGAGACACGCGCCCAGGGAACACACCTCTCGGAAGTCACCCGTATCCTCTCGTCATTGGACGAGTTGAACCGATCATCCTTTTCTCTGAAATACTCCTCTATGCACTGCTCTTCAAAGTCATGCACTTTCTTGAGCTCGTCATCAGTTATGAACAGTTCTGTGGAAAAGAAATGAGATATAAGTCAGAGAAGTAAAAGCGCTGGAATCTGATTTGGGGCCTCATGGCATTCTAATCTAAACCAAGGTGAGAAAAAGGGGCCTAGATTCTCCTACTCAAATCTCAAACTAAATCCACATCCCGCCAGGCAACTTGTGTCATCTTTCTGTGAGTTAGATTCACTATGGGTCTCTGAAGTTTACTTGAACATCTCTGGTTTATTGCAGGAACTGTAAGGTAAAAAATGTAGCTAAATCAAGGAGAAGGGAAGCGACACAGAAGATGGACTTTTCCTTAAAGCTCAGTTTCTGGGATGAGGAGTATGGCAGAAGACATATGTCACTGGCCTTGCTAAAAGCCCTTTTGCAACCCATTCCCCTTTCTCTTTTCCCACTACTGAGGCTGGAAAGCCAAACACATATATTCCCAGTTGCCCTTGAAGGCAGCAGCAACGATGACACCCAGTTTGGCGCAATAAACAAAAGAAGTCTGCTGGAGGGGGTGTGTATTGGGAAGAGATTTTGCTCTCCTGATAAACTATAGAGATATGGCTGCGTCTTTCTCCATTTTTTTTTTAACCCTCCCCTTTTCTTCTTGCCTTGAGCATAAATGTGAGGACAGAAAGTGCAACAGCTACTCTGCTACCACAAGACAAGACAATAACAAGTAGCTGAACCTAAAAACAGCGAGCCACTGGTGAGCTCTGGGCTGTCAGCTGAGTCACCTTTGTGAAAAAAATAAAACCTTACTTATTTGTGTTATTGCGAATCTGGCTTTCTGTTAATAGCAGGTAAACTAATTCATAACCGATACAGCCATGGAAAAAGCCCAGTGTAAATTTGGACCTCCCCACCCCCACCCCAAGCTTTCTATTTGCCTAAATTTATGTTTCAGGTGGACATGGTGAACTTCGGAATTCCCAGCCCTCTCCAACTCTCCAATTTTAATGTCTAGAAAGAAGTCAGGCACTGCTGTGTCAGGAATGTTGTTAAAAGCTTCAGACATAGAGAAGCAGTTGATTAAGTGGGTTTGGTTTCAAACTTTAGAGCCACTGGTGAACACCTAGAAGTAATTCCTGGGCCATAATTCTAGAGGTTCCGGTTCAGTAGATTTAGTGTAAACGGTCTACTTGACACACTTTGAGAAACCATAGTAGTTTGCTTCTATAGGGCTGGATGCTCAATGGTCCTTAACTGTGGGTGGTGCCCAAGGGACATTTAGGAATCTGCGGGAGCTGTTGATATTTAATGTGTGGAGGCCCGAAGTGCTAAATCCCCTGATGCCGTGGGACAATCCTACCTAACCAAGAATTGTTCTGCCCCAATGTTAACAGAACCTCCTTTTAGAAACACTGGACTAGAAGGTGGATGGTGGAGGGTCTTCTATTTTTCTCTTTGAATAATGGAAAGGAGGGCTGATTTCTTCTGAAGTCACATAAGCACAACTCCTAAGGCTTGGGAAATGTTTAAGAGATTAAAAAAGAAAAAGAAAAAAAAGGTAGGTCCAGAAATGATAATGGAAAATCAAACTTAGTCACCTGCAACTCAACTCATGTAATGATGCTTAAATTATATATAATGCAGCATTGGGAGCATATAAATATGGTTGATATATTTTGTGGTGGGACTTCTGGAAAGTAAGAACTTAGAACCTATGAAGGTGCTAACGGCCCTGCTGGAGATTGGTTTTATCTCACTAAAAAAGATGTGAGGTGAGGCTAAGAATACATGATTTTCAGCCCCCTACTCTCTTCTTTCTAGCAGTGTTTCTGAGGCAAGCATGCCCTCCCATTCCCTTCCAAGTCTTCAGAGCAATCTGCAGAAAGCAGGAGGAACCGGCAGCTTCAGGGTCCTGAATGACTGCCTATAGTAAGCGGTAGGGATTCTGATTTGTGGCTGCTGAGGGCTGTCACTAAAAGCTTACTCAGGCCATAGTCCCTTTCATCTGGGTCACTCTCATGTTTCCTCCACCGGCAACACAGATGCTGGAATATCATGGTCATGTGGCTGAAGATGATCAGGGGTGGGGGAAGAACCGGCCTTTCATGGAAAGTCATGATGAGCTGATACCTCTGAAACTTCCACACTTGGTTGGATATTGACTTTACCTCAAAAAACGTATTGCTGCAATAGAGACCAGAGAGAATCAAGTGAGAAACTCCACTGCTTTCCAAAGCATCACACCCGTCCAGTGCCCCCACTCCATCCCAAGTGCTCTGAAGAAGGACCCACTTACTTAAAGACGGCGATGAGGAGGTTGACTAGCAGGATGTTTGCTACTAAAAGGTAGCAGGCCATGATGGCGGGCACAATCCAGGCTCCTGTCTTGCAGGGAGGCAGCTGGATGATTTTACCATCCTCTCGCGTCTCATTCTGCCCACAGGGAGCTGGAGGGAAGCAACACAAGCAACAAATGAGAAACCATGGCTATTTTGTCCAAAAAAAAAGACTGAAAGAGGTTTTTTTTTTTTTTTAAGATGGAGGAAAAGTACAGCCATCTCAAAACAAACAGAAAAACAACAACAACAAAAAGAATTCCAAAAGGAGCCAGGATGGAAAAATGAAAGCTTCATGAATATCCCCAGGGGCTGCTGCTACTCCAGGGAGCTGGTTCCACTTGTCTCCCAAGTTGTCATCTGACTCAAGAGGTGGGAGGCGTTCCTTGCTTGCTTACTCTGTCCCTTGGTCCCTGACTTTCACTGAGGGGCACTTGGTGTCCTTAGAAATCTGGTGAGGGCTTTCCTGGGGAGCAGTGGGAGAAGCAGAGTCTCACTGCCCCATCAAGTTACTTTCAAAATGTGCTGTGGAGGCCAGAAGCCCGACAGCTGTAAGAGCAGCAGCACGGAGGGGCTATTGATTGGGAATTAACACGGGGCAGCTGTTAATTGCTGCAAGAAACAACCGGGGGGCTCTGAGTTAATGATTTGCTGTCTCAGTGAGGAAGGAACAAAACAGGAATTCGCCTTGGGAAGTATTTAGAGGGCTTGTCTCTCCATGCTCCTGACAAATGGCATTTCACGGGGAGGGCAATGAGGGGTGATGGGCCGGGACCTCTGAGCCTGTAGCCACCTGCTTTCTTCCAGCAGCATTTCCATTCCAAAAATGTGCTTTTCAGGGCACAGGGAACAAAACCCAATTGCATTAAAAAAAAAAAAGGGCAAATGGGGAAAAAAAAGATCTGTAGGTGGGGGTGAGGAGGAAGGTGATGTGTGTGGGGGAGTCTGGGTGAGCGTGAGTCATGTGCTAATGAGGCCTCCTTGGCGTTTCCGGGTAACTTCAGGGGAAAAAGAAATCCTTGACAAAGCTCCTTAGTGCTGCTCAGCCGACATGGCTTAGGGAGTGAGATGATGTCCTTAGGGGCCCGGGGGTAGGTGAGGTTGCCCTCCTGTTCAGCTCTCCCTGTCCCTCATTTGGCTTTAGAACAGGGTCCTTTTGCAGCTATCTATAAAAAGGGGCGGGGCATGAAGAGTCCTCAGCAGTCACCCACCACAGGCAGCTTTTGAGGGTCTGCCAGGAAGCTTTGCAAAGTGGACCCAGGGTCTTCTTGGAGGGAGTACCTGGCAAGGGGAGTCCATTCCCTTCTCAAGAGTTAATGTTGCTAGGCTGTGCGCATTGCAGTACTTCCCAACCCTGGCTGCACAGGGGACCACCTGCAGAGCTTTAAAAAAATGCCAATGCCAAGCTCCACCCCAGACAACTGAATCAGAATCTTTGAGGATGGCTCAGGCATCAATATTTCTTTTAAAACTTCCCAGGTAATTCTCAGGTGCCACTAAGGTAAGACCACCAAGCTATAATTAGGCTGCAAAAATTATATGATTTTCTACATGCTCTCAAGCCCCAAATGCATCTTCTCAGGCTATGAGGGTTTTCATAGTATCAGGACACCAAGATCCTGGCCAGGGAAAGACGGTCAAAGTGCTTTCCTTGGACTTGCCTACAAGATGATTGGGTGTTAGAATCGGGTGTTTTCAAAGAGCCGGAATCTTTTTATTATTGGCAGTTGTGGAACTAACTGCCCAAAACAGCCCTCTATTTGGAATGAAAACCCGGTGATGGAGGCCCCCACAGGCTCCAGGATGAAGTCCAAACTCTGAGGGTGGCAGGCCCAGTGCCATCTCTTGCCACTTCCCACTTTTCCCTATGAGCACAAACTGGACCAAATTTCTTGCAGTTCCTGGAAATGTCATGCTATCTCTTACTGCCTGATTTTGAGTCTTGTTTCTTTTATTTCCAAAAGACCCCTCTGGCACTTTGCTCCCACTCCCACGCTTCACTTGGGTAAATGCTATTCAATGTTCAGTGCTCAGTTAGCTTTCTGAAGCCCACCCCAGCTCACTTGCTGCCCCCAGGACCGGCACAGGGATTGGCAAAGATTCTCTGCTTGACCAAACTCTACTCAGGCCCCCCTGAGCTCTTTTTCAATTAGGCCTCAGCTTTTGGACTTCTGTGTTTGTCTCAGCATTGTCCAATTTTAGCAAGAATCCTGATCAATCAGTTTAGCCAGAATCCTCACCTTCAATATCTGATCACTCTTGATATTTAATCAGGTTCCTTATCCTCCACCCTTTCCCAAATGGTGTCTGATCACCCTGGCCTGCCTTCAGCAAGAAGCTTGTTAGATAATCAAAACAGCATGGCACTGGCAGAAAAACAGACACCCAGACCAATGGACTAGAGCTGAAAACCCAGAAATAAATCCACATATACATGGGCAGATAATTTTCGACAAAGGAGCCAATAACATACAATGGAGAAAAGAAAGTCTTTTCAATAAATGGTGCTGTGAAAATCGGAAAACCACATGTAAAAGAATGAAACTAGACTGCTGTCTGTCATCATATACCAAAATTAACTCAAAATGGATCAAAGACCTAAACATAGGAAAGCATAGGTACTAACCTTATGGGCCTTGGGTTTAAAAAGGATTTTATGAATTTGGCCTCAAAGGCAAGGGAAGTAAAAGTAAAAATAAATGAATGGGACTATATCAAACTAAAAAGCTCCTGCATAGCAAAAGAAACCATCGACAAAACAAAGAGGCAATCAACCAAATGGAAGATATTTGCAAACAACATCTCTGATAAGGGGCTCATATCCAAAATATATTACGAACTCATATAACTCAACAACAACAAGAAAACAAACAATCCAATTAAAAAACGGGCAGAGGACCTGAACAGACGCTTCTCCCAAGAAGACATACAAACAGCCAACAGATATATGAAAAAGTGCTCAATTTCATTAGTTATTAGGGAAATGCAAATAAAAACCACAATGAGATATCACCTCACACCTGTTAGAATGACTATCATCAACAAGACAAATAATAACAAAAATTGGAAAGGCTGTGGAGAAAAAGTAACGCTCATACACTGTTGGTGGGAATGTAGATTGCGGCAGCAACAATAGAAAAGAGTATGGAAATTCCTCAAAAAGTTAAGAATAGAATTACCATATGACCTAGCAATCCCTCTTCTGGATATCTACCCAAAACATCTGAAAATATTTATCTGTAAAAATATATGGACCCCAAATGTTCATTGCAGCATTATTCACAGTGGCCAAGACATGGAAACAACCAAAATGTTCTTTGATAGATGACTGGATAAAGAAGATGTGGTACATATATATGATGGAATATTACTTATCCGTAAGAAAGGATGAAATACTGCCATTTGTGACAACATGGATGGATCTTGAAATTATTATGCTAAGCAAAATAAGTCAGACAAAAAGTCAAGAACCATATGATTTCACTGATATGTGGGATATAAAACTGAAAGCAACAAAGGAACAAGACAAACAAACAAAAAAACACACAAAAACTCATAGACACAGACAAGAGTTTAGTGGTTACCAGAGGGAAAGTGGGGAGGGAGATGGTAGAAGAGGGTAAAGGGGGTCAAATATATAGTGATGGAAGGAGAACTGACTCTGGTGGTGAACACACAATGTGATACATAGATGATGTATTATAGAAACATATACTTGAAACTTATATAATTTTACTAACCAATGCCATCCCTTTAAATTTAATAAATTAAAAACTAAAGTAAATTCTCCAAGAAAAAAAAATCTTGTTAGGTCGGTTGAGCCAGGATGTCCCTTATCCCTGATGCTTCCTCTCAGTGATTTTCCATCCACTGACCCCCCACTCTGTTCCTGGCTGTAAATTCCCAGTTTTTCCTGTTGTATTCAGAATTGAGCCCAGTCTCTCTCCCCTATTACAAAACCCCATTGCAGTACCCCCACTCCCTTGAATAAAGTCTTCCTTACCATCTTTAACAAGTGTCTCAGATACTTTTTTCTTTAATGAATAATGTTTCTTCAGTCATTTTATCTTCTTGATAATCCCAGACCCCACTCCCTCCCCCACATATTCCTTTGGGAGGCTTCTCACTCTGTCACCACCACCAATTTACTCATCTGTGTCCCACACAAGATCCCCAGTGGGAAAACTGCTCTTTTTTTTTTTCAAAGATTTTTATTGGGGAATTGGGGGGATGGGAACAGTGCTGCGGAATTGGGGGAAGGGAATAGACAAGTTGCTGTCATTTTTTCCTTCAATCTAGTTGTGGAGGATGTTGCTTCACTGGCCCAAGTTGGCACCATCATTGTGCTCTTCCTGGGTGAGGCAAATCAGTCGCTGGCTTCTGGACGGCCACTCATGGCGGCTGCTGGCCGCTCACGCTGGCTGCTGGCTACATACGGTAGCCCATGGCGACCCACTGCCACAGGGGCTGCAGCCTACGCCGTCGCTGGCGACTCAAGGCATCCCAGCTCCAGGTTGAGCTGTTGTTCAGAATCTTAGCTGTAGAGGGCAGTGTCACTGGCCCTCATATGTGGGATCTGAACCGGGGTCCTCTGGCATCCCAAGCCAGTTCTTAACCATCGCGCCACTCGGCCGGCCCAGAAAATTGCTCTTGATGGCTTCCCAATTCCTGGCTCAGTGTATACACTCAGCACATACACACATATCTACACATGATCACTGTTTGTTGAATGAATAATGGAGATCATTGGACACAATTTGGTTGTTGAGCAGTAACAAACATTTCCCATAGTTCCGCAGGCTTCTTCATGATGGACAGACCTAGCTCTGAGTGGTTGTTGGCTCCTTCTTTAGGTCCTTTCCAAAAACCCCACCCTTGGCTTGGCAAGAAGGCTTCTCACACTTAACCAGACTTCAGGATCTCTGTCACCCACTTGGCCACAGCCCTCAAGGAATCACTTGCTTTGCTTTTCTCTCCTTAGGGAAGCTCGCCCCACTTATCTACTCCCTTCCTCCCGGCCAGACCTCCTGAGGGGCAGTCACTCTCGTGCTGCCCTTTCCTCTGGCTCCTGCTCAGATCTCTCTGGGGAAAGCTGATAAAGAACAGCAGAAAGAACTGCTTCGGGTAAGTTACAAACTATACAGCTTTGACAGAGGTGGTCCCAGATCTCCATTTCTCAATGACATTGTGAGATTATTCTTTACACTCTGGGAGAACGTAAAATAAGCTTGTGAAGGGCACAGCTCATCCATCTTGTTCTTTTGACCCCATGGTTAGTGAAGCATCCACACACTTCCTCCACGAAGGCCTTCCTTCTAGCCTAAAGAGCAAACCAGGGAGAACAGCAGGTGCTGGCTGGTTTCATGGCCCACACACCTTTCCATTGGCCTTCAGATATTGTCATTGACGTATCTCTACATCTTTGATTGGTTCCTTTGCTCCATCCCTCAAAGCCCTCTAACAGTTCGAAGATTGGACCAGCTTAATACCTTTATACATTATTTGCTTAGATGTCAATGTGTTTGGCTCTGGGAACTCCCTGCCAATCCCTTGGGTATAAATTTATTTCAGCTTCCCCATTTTTTATTCCTCCTGTCCTTATAGATGTAGTATTACTTTAGTGGTTAGAAACATGCATTATAATCAAGTAGACCTGGGTTTAAGCCCCAATTCCACCATTTTCAAATAATGTGACATTAGCTTAATCCATGAGCTACAGCCTCCTAATCTGTAAAATAGGGGTAGTAATAGTAGGTAATATGGGGGGCAGTTGTCAAGATCATTACATAAGATAATGCATGCAAAGCACTTAGTTCAGTCTGAAGCACACAGCACTTGGTTAACATTAGTATTGCTACTTTAGTAATGAATAGACTTTAAGCTTCTCAAGTTTAGGGACTATGTCTTATTTCCGTTTTATAATCACTATGCATAGCACATATTCGACAAACATTTATTCAGTGGTTATAACACGCAGGGTACAAGGGATTTGGGGCATCAAAGAGAGAGTTCCTGTTGTTTAAGAACCTCACAATTTAGAAGCACAGACAAGGAAGAGAGCATTGCATTTCTGGATGATGTGAGCTCTGATGGGGGCTCTGAAGAAGCCCTGCAGAACTGTTGCAGCCCCTCCTGCCTGGGTCACACCCAGCAGTCTGGTAGTCAGGACCAGATTTGAGGACCATCACCTAGATTCGACAGCAACAAGTGCAGTATAAATGAATTAGATGATCCTTGTGACAGTGATAATGATAATAAAAATGAATCATTAAGAAACCAGCCTTCATTTGGTAATATCAGCAAAGAAGCAGGGAATATTATAGGCAGCAGTTAGGGCAAAACACTGCTCTATAATGGCTTCTAATGATGTCCTTGTTGTAGGCATTTATCTGCACTAGAAAATGCTCTGACTCAAACTTACAGATGTCTACCATTGATGAAGATGAACTAGGTAACTTAAAGCCCTGACCGGCAGCAGATTTCAAGATGGTGGATAAGTTATCTGGATTGCATATGGCACCAACCAGTATCTTGAGGCTCATGTTCTCAGGAAATCCTCCAGGACACATGCACCCAAGATGACACCTGGGTGGATTTTAGGGATGTGTTGGCTGGTGGCTATCACTGTGCCTCCTCTTTCTCTGCTTTGGAACCTGACACTTAAGTGGCTATTCTCCCAATCCTAATGCAAGAAATCAATACATACGTAGGCACCACCACCTTCATATCAAGTGGCATGTTGTCACCTCCTTTTTCATTGGTAATGATGCAGAGTGCTTCTAGTGGATGTTTGCTGGTAACACCTGCCCAGTATACCTTTCCCCTTCCTCTGGGAGGAGCACCCTGGCTTCCCTTTGTGGAACGGCCCCAGCCCCACTCAGTCTATGAAGTTTGGGTGAAATGAACTCCAGTGCTCAGGCTAGGGTCCATTAGGAGATTAATCAGTGTACTTTATCCCCTGATTGCAGTGACTAGTTCAGAGATGGACATGTGACCCTAGCCTGAGCAATCAGAGCCAATGAGCATCAACCTTGGACATTTTGCAGAAAGTAATATAAAACAGCAGCTCTCTTTTTATAATGCGATGTAAGGCTACCAAGTGGCGAGGGCCTGCCCAGGAGTGAGTGTATCACAGAGAAGGGAAACTGATTTCTGAACCAGCCATGCCTAAAACCAGCCCTCTTCAGTAATATAAACCATAAAATTCATTTTTTTTTCCTTAAGTCAATTTGAATTGAGTTTCAATTACTAGCGATTAAGAGTCCTGGCTAATACAATCACCCTCACCTCCAGCCCCTGTCTACAGGCCAGCAATAAAAGGCATTGGTATTTTGGGCACCCTACTCCTGAGAGGCTGCATTTGGAGTGTTGGGGTAGCATGAAAAGATTGGAAGGGGCAACCAGGAATGTGAAATCTGACCTGATACCAAGGTTAAGTCAGTGTGAGGGTTTCAGGACCCAGAGACACTGTTGCTCTCCTTCTTTCCCTAAGCACAAAAGAACTTAAGGGGTCTACACTGATCAATGCTCAGTTGTCCAAATGGGGCCTCTGACTCAGAAACTAATGACACAGATTTCACCTATTATCAAGTCAGGAGGGTAAATGCAGTTGGAAAACTTTGGCCAAGCACCAGGACACAGCCAGCTGCTCCCAAAGTGAAGAAAACCTTGTTCTAGAAGGTGATCATAGATAAATGAGGCCACAGGGGTCCCAGGGAGCAGGTGCAGGGACAGAGTGGGAAGTCTACATTTATGCAGTTATGGCCAAATTAGAAGGGATCAAACGTTTGGAGATTCAGATTTGCTATGGTTTATCTACGTGGGTCACACTGACACATTGCATGGCAGGAAGTTGGAGGTGCCATTTCTACTAACCTGCATTAACAGGTAGAAATGAAACAGATGATTGGGCTCCAACACAATGTTAGGTTGTGCAGTCATAATCTGGCCAGAGCATGCAAATGAAGTAAGAAAGCTGCCTCTCCACCTCCCCATCCCCCACTTTCTGTACATGTTCTGGAGAGCAGCCCTCTAATGGCTGGACTTTTAAAATTTTTTATAAATAAATTTTTATGATAACTAAAATAAGGGTCAACAGTATCCCTCCCTAGAATACAAGCTCCATGGCAATAGGAGTTTTTGTTTGTTCAATAAAAAAAAAAAACAGCAGCTATAACACTCCCTGGCATATAGTAGGTGCTCAGTAAATATTTGCCAAATGAATGCAGGCAGGAACATTACACACTGTACATTTGACCTGCCTTGTCAGGCATTTCTGCAGGGGTTACACCTGGTTGATTTCACTGGGTCAGTGTCTGTTTTCCTATCTAGTTTAAGATCTCCAGTGCCACATTTCCTATAAGAACAGATGTTTATTTATTTGTTTGTTTTTGCAATTGCCAAGTTTTGCAATTAAAAGAACATGCCTTGTCTTTGGCAAAGGTGATAGCAAATCTCCCTTCTGAATGCTGCTGTGTAAATCTCCAGGCACACCGGCCATAACACTCCATCTTGTACTTGGGCAGACACTGCTAATCAATCACGACACTCTTTCCTTCTGAGCCAAGTTGTGGCCTTGGAATCCTTTTCAACACAAAACTCCCCAAAGCACAACCAATCAACTGAAATTGACACAAGAGATGGAACCTTTTCCTTAGCTTCTTCAAAAATGAGAATGTGAGGTCTGAGGTGAAAGATAATTTCTGTGTCCATTTTCAGGATCCTCCTCATGATCACATAGCCTGGCCAATACCTAATGTATACCACCCTCACAGTTTCCCAGGAACAAAAATGTTGGGTCAAATTGGACACCCTGCTTTTCTCAGACCCTGACTTTTTTTTTTTTTTTAAGATTTTATTGGGGAATTGGGGGAGGGAACAACATTGGGAAATCAGGGAAGGGAAACAGACAAGTTGCTGTCCTTTTGTTCTTCAGTCTAGTTGTGGAGGATGTCGCTTCACTGGCCCATGTTATTATTATTGCGCTCTTCCTGGGTGAGGCAGATCAGTCTCCAGCCATTGGATGGCCGTTCACGGTGGCTCACGGCAGCTCATGGCAGCTCACAGCAGCCCACTGCTGCTCCACTGCAGCCTATGCTGCTGCCAGCCACTCACAGCAGCCCAGCTCCAGGTTGAGCTGTTGTTTACCATCTTAACTGTAGAGGGCACAGCGTCACTGGCCCATGTGGGATCCGCACCAGCAGCCCTGGTGCTAAGAGCTTGCACTGTCAAGCCAACTCTTAACCAACAAGCCACTCGGCCAGCCCCACCCTGACATTTTTGATGAAGGACCAGCCTGAGGGTATTGTGGGACCTCTCCCATGTACATCCTGGGCCCCTGGACACTGCCTAGTGCTCATTTTTAAACAAAGCTTTTTGTTTCAGGTCCCAGGAAATTCAGATCCTAGTTCTTTATTTGGAATCCTTAAAAATAAAGCAGAGTAGAGATTTGGGAATAGACACCTAGGGAAAGCATAACATGAGCCAGTTTCTGTGCTGGGTGCTCTACGTTGGTCATTGCATTAAAGCTTCCCTGTAGCTCTGTAAGAAATGTATTGTTTTGTTTCAAAGTTGAGGAAACACACAACAAGGGGTGAAATGCCTTACCCAAGACCACACAGCATATAAGGGATAACGTGAGAACCATTCATTCATTCATTCATTCATTCATTCCAAAATACTGAGTTCCTGCTCCTTGCCAGTGGAAATTGGCCCTGGAGATGCAATTATGAATGATACAGAAATGAATCCTATCCTTTCTTGAACCCCAAAGCTTTTGTGTACTCTCCTTTATCTCGTGTGATCTTTCCAACGTAGTAATATATAATTATAATAGTGACCACCTATTGCATGCTTAAATGTAAGGCCCTGTGCTATGAGCTTTACTTATATCAACTTATTTTAACCTTGACAATATTTTGACCTAATAGATATTATTATCCCCATTTTACAGATGAAGAAGTGTGGCTTAGAAAGCTTTAGTATCTCTGCCAGTATCTCAAAGACAATAAGACCAGAGTCAGGAGGGCCACTCAAGCCTGCTCCACATGAAGACTCTTTCCTTTGTGCCTCTGAAGAAAGTGCCAACATGGGGTTGAGAGGAATCTCTCAATTATGAACAAACATTGAGACAGGTTAATAAGCATGTGAATTTTTCTTGTTTCCATCAATAAGAAGGTAAAATAAATGCGTGGAACACTTAAATTCAGAGAATGAAGAAAGAAATTCAACTCATAGAACAGGTATCAGGTGTAGGCCCCTCATGTCCCAAAGATTAAGACATTTGCCTTTTTGATTTCATCCTATAATGTAAGGGGAGAAGAAACATTGTTGATTTAATGCAAACACCACATTATTCCCAAAGAGCATTAGACATTTAAAAAGAACAAGCAATGTTTGATATAATCAGCATCATTTAAAAAGATGCAATGAAGAAGGATATTATCCGGATTGTCCCTTCCTCTCCTCACTGAAAAATGTCTCACAAGCTCCTTCCAAATCACAGGCAACGGAATAAAGAGCTTAGTTGAGTGCATGACTACATTTATCCTGTTTTCTTTTCTTTTTTTTTTTAAGAAAGGATTTTCAACTGAAAATCCATCTTGAGAAGATAAGGAGACAAAGAGGATTTCTCCACCTCCTTTTGAAAATCCATACAGTTTGCCATGGAGGATTTAGAATACCATTAGCACAGCTCCTGAGATTGACTCTAAGGGTGAATTAGATTTAGATAGCTCTGCTCTTTGGGCCTTTTTCCTGACACAATGCTTTCTTTGGCTAGACAACTGAAGATGCCTCCTTTTGTATGGCTATATCTTTCTAGAAGCTTCCTGATCTAAGAGTTTTAGATAGTGGTAGATTCAGGCAGAAGTTTTCTTTATGTGCGCATAGTTATGGGCACTTTCTATTTATTTCAACAGACCAGCACCAATGTCCTCTAGTAATGGAGGATAGGAAGAGCAAAGGTAATTGAAAACCACGTAAGCTCCAACTTTTGTAGAGTCAAGAACACCATCCATCGCTCTGCCTTTTACTTCTTTTGATGCAGCTGGTGGGTAAGATGCAAATTGGAGGTGACATGGTACAAAGGCAAGCATCAGAAAGGAGTAAGAGGAGATCTCAGTTCCTCTATCTATGAATATAAGGACTTGGACTATATTCTCTACAGTGTGGTGCACACATACCTCAGGAAGTCCAAGATGATTTTAGGACACAGGAATGAGGCATTAAATAACACTTAATTGTATAGTGAGAAAGTGATGACCTTTTCAAGCCTCTTGCAATCTTCCTGACTCCATCAGAGGGAATGCGTCAGTTTGAGGATAATATTTCTTTAACATTTCCTTCACATTTGCGAAACTCCCATTTTAGTAAAGACTGGGCAGGCCGAAGGCTCAAGCATCTGGACAGAATTTCACAACAATGTAGTGTTTTCATTCTGTTTATTTTATGGTTATCTTCTATTTACATCAAATCATACTGATTTTTCAACGTATGGCCATGATATAAAATTTAAAAAATAATTTAGATTTTAAAAATGAGCCAGTTTCATGAAAAATACTAATGAGTATAAGATATTTTACAAAACAATGAATGGTTTATGTGACTAATGGTTGGGAAATTCTGGATTAGGTGAACTCTAAGCTTCCTCTAGACCTGATATTCTAGTACTCTGTGATGCCATGGAGAGAAGCAAAAGATCAGGATAACCCCCAGATGAAATGATCTATCTTTGGAGCTAATTGTAGGTCACTTGTAGAAGCCTTATTCTTTCCACTCCTAGCAGAAGAGCTATCACATTACTAGCCCCCACTGCAAGATATGGTATCCAGCCACCACAGGAGGAAAAGAGGGCACCACTGACAGCCTCCAAGCTTTACAGGGCTTCTGGTCTACTTGCTCATATGTTCAGCTTTGAGCTTTTTACAATGCACAATTAAGTTGAACAACTCTCATTTTTTAATGCAGTGAATTAGAGGGTAGGGTGTCACAAGCCTAGGTATGTTGTGTATGAGTTGTGAGGCATACATTATGGTGGAGAAGGGAAGAAAATTCAATTCTCTCTGTTATCTTGTGTTATTCCTGGTCTATATATCTACCTTTACGTAGAGACAAACTTATCATTTATTTACTGTTGTTTGAGAGGCTTTCAAAATTCCAACCTTAGTAGTTCATTTTTTGGTATCAGGAATTAGTGTCAGAAAGAGTCTGTACACTTGTTGCTGGGGAACAATGTCTATCTATACTGCCCTGTTATACATGTCAGTGAGTTTGTTGCCATGATGTAGTAGGTTGATTGCTTTAATAGCTCCAATTCCTCTTCTCTCCCTGTATCCAAGCTTCATTTGACAGTTTCTCTCACTAAACAGGTAGGATCTATTTCCTTGCCCCTTGATTCTGAGTCTGGCCATGTGAGTTTCTTTGGCCAATGGGATATTAGCAAATGTAATCCATATAGAATCCCAAAGAAACACTTGATTGTTTCTGTTTCCACCATTGCACTTCAGCCATCACCATGAGGAACATGCCTGAGCTAGTCTGCTGGGGGATGAAATACATGAGTCTCTGCTCCCAGTCACTTCTGCTGTTTGAGCTGAGGGTGTTCCAGATCAGCTGACAGGCAGCTGACTCCCTGGCATGTGGTTGAGCCTGACTGAGCTCAGCCAAGTCCAGAAGAATCATCCAGCCAACCCACAGGCTCCTCAACTTAATAAAAGTAGCTCTAAGCTACTGCCTTCTGGGGACAATCTGTCCTACAGCATTATCAATAGGAAATGTCAATAAATATGTGATATACATGCTCCACCTACCCTTGCCCTGCTCAGAGCTAGGCAGCCCTAGGTGTTTCAGATTGACAAAACCCTTTCCTAATTTCTTCATCTTCCCTGCCTCAGTTCAGGCCAGGTCCTATCACTGTCCAAAGAGCAAGTTCTATCATTGCCCAAGGAAGAGAGGGTTCATTGAATGACCAATGACTAATCAGACTCTGTCTTTAGAAATTAAACTGAGCTGTGAGACTTTAAGTGATGGCAGGTACTTAACTGAAAGGTCATATAGAGTCAGATCATGTTAGGTCATGTAAAAGTAAAGCAAGCCATCTGAGATAGGAAGAGGGGTAAGAAGGGAGGAAACAAAAGGGACAGACCACGTAAGAGCAAGAGAGAACATGGGAGATGATTGATTGACTGATTGATTGATTGAGACTGGAGAGAAAAACAGACGACAGTGGTCACATATTCACATTCTGCCTTCTCCAAACCACTTCCAGGTTCGTTTCCAGTCAGCTCACACCATGCTTTGTTTCATGTCTTTGAGGTTTCCTCTTATATAGGCTTCCAGTTAATCTTTCTTTATATACTCTAGTTTAAGTGGGTTTTGTTTTCTTGTGATCAACATTTTTCTCTAGTTAACACGTTAGAGAGAATGGGCATCTCAGGATAAGAGTTTCGCTAAAAGAGACAAAGATCCAGAATGTGCTGGGAGACTCTCGGTCCTTGGGGGGTGGGGTGGGGTGGAGGGGGGCAGTGAGAAGGGAAACGGGGGCTCAGGGAAGGTTTGGAAGGGTAGAAGTGAAAACTGTTTAACTTACAATTTTACTGAGGGCTCACCGCATTCGTTTTGATATTTCCCTAAACAAAATAGGATTAGATAAGCTATTTCCTTCTTCAAACCAAAACAAGAAAAAAATTCAGAGAAATAGTCAAATAAATGGTTTACTCTCCCAGATTGTTATGCTGCTGTCCACCTCCATTGTGATTCTTGACTCTGATGTTCTCATCACAACTCCTGATGTTGCAGCAATATACCCTCCAGAGCTACGAGGTCAGGAACAGGTGTCCCTTCCACCGCAGGTGGGGGAAGCTCGATTCTATTCTTGGTGGAGGGTTTCCCTTGTGGGGCCACACCACCGTAGCTGCCATGCCACACGTTAAGGAACGGCACTTTGTTGTTTTTGTTTAAAATGGAATTGCATGATTTTTCAGAAACCCATACATCTATCTGTCCGTTAGGGTATTTAAAGAGGGAAAAGCCAGAAGAAGAAGAAGAAGAAACCAGCAACCTCACAGCAGGGCTGTGTGTGCTGAGAACGATCAGTCCAGTGAGCCAGGCTGTGCATATCTCTTTGTAGACATACACCCAGGACACCAGGCTGTGCCAGCTCCACAGAAATGATCCATGGCTCCTGTGAACGCCTATTGGATTACACCCCCAGGGTTATATGACATCGAGGGAAAGAATCAATGCGGTCCCTAATATTTAGGAACGCGTATATAAGCAAACACACATTCTTTGCTGACATAATTTACAAATTCCCTGGGAAGCTACAGATAACCCAAGAAATCTATCTGTGCTCACAACTCACGCTCCTGGCTCTGATCTGCTGGCAAACGTACCTGGTGTTCCTCATTCTTAGTTGGTTCTCTCTGCCCTCTCTCTTTTTACTTTAAGGCCAGGCTGCCCACTCATCTGTTTACTGTTAAAACTTGAGCTTTTCACACTTTAGTTGATACTCCTCAAACAGTAAAGAATTCAGATCATGGTCAGTCCCTGCTCAGCTTAAACTTAAACGGCTATGGGTGGGCTTGAGTTCCAGTGCCCATTACTTGCTGTCATCTTGTAAATATGAATCCAAACTATAGGCCTCATATAAACATTATTATTATTATAATAAAATAGTTGGGTGACGGTATGCCCTTGTACAGTGAATTAACAACCTTTTTCTTTCACAGAGCAACACTGACACACATAAGTTGAAATAAACACTTTCATCTTGAAAGATTTATCTGTTGAAAATAATAAACTCAAATGTTGATCAAGTGGCTCTGACCCACTGTTTGGAGAACTATCCATAACTGATCCATCTTACTAAATCATTCTTTGAAGTCACCGGACATAAGGCACTAACCTTGGATGGGTACAGTTTGAGTCCTAGATCTGACATTTTGCCGTCTACGTACTATTAAGTCAAGTAATGTGTCTGAGCCTGAGTTTCCGCATCTCTAAGCTTAGTGTAATAAAAATAGAAATGGTATTAATAATAATGATGATGGCACATACCCAGCATCCCTCATCATTCATTCAACACGTGTTTATGGAGCCTCTACCATGTGCCAGACACTGTTCTAAGTGCTTGGGTTGAACCGTCGAACAAAACATCAAAGATCCCAGACTATCCAAAGCCTGAGTTGGGAAGGAGGTGATGGTGTGGTGAGTGGACAGAAAATAAACAATAGCATAATAAATAAGTAAACTAAGTGGTGTTTAAGAAGGTGATAAGGGCTACAGAAGAAAAGAAAACATAGAGCAGGGCAAGGAGGGTCAGGAGTGCATGGAGGTACCTGGGAGCCACACTGAGAAGGTGAGATGGGAACAAACTCCAGTCTTAAATGAGGAAGATGGCCAGGAGGACCTCTGGGAAAGGGTGCTCAAAGCAGCAGGCACTGCTAGGGCAAAGGCCCTGGGGCAGAAACTTGCCCGCCATGTTCTGTGAACCACATGAACGTTCCCGTGTCTGAAATAATGCA